AAAGCATCTTTCAACAGACTTTCAAAACTTTTCCCACAACTGATGTAAGATTAATGGGTCTAAAATTTCTTTAACATCTTTTATCACCTCCCTAAAAAAAGGAGTTACATTAGCTAACTTGGTCATTCAAAGTTTGATTTGCAGTAGTGTAAATCGTTTTATAATTGTTTTGCATGATTTTCAATGGTAATGAGAAATTTAGATTTAAAAATTTATTCCTGAATTGTGTAAACATTTATATAAGTAACATAATTTTCATTTTTAAGTTTGCTTTGAGAATAAAGACACTGAACAGCTTTTTGGTGGGCTCTCTCTCTCTCAATTTGACAACATTATTGCCTAAAATAAGTAATTTATAGATGGCTGTTAGTTACCTTTCCTAACAGAGACAGACTTGAGAGCAAGGCACCTGTTCAAGCTTGCACCATCGAACTCAGGCCTTTCATGAAGCAGTTTCACGTTTGTTTATAAATGGCATTTGTGTAACTCTTTAAATGATTTCCAAGAGATTTTTATAATTTTATTATATGAACTCTTTCTCAGTTCATCAACTTCAGAAGTTAGTGACAGGCCAGTAACCCACCTTGTGTGTCAAATGGTTGGACTAGAGTTAATATAGATTTAAGTAGCTTAACTTATGATTAGTTTGGAACATCACATAGCTACTGGACTACACCATGCATTTTATTTTTTACAAAACTGTCATAGATTACTACTTTTATAATTTGTTGATGGGTTTGAATCATTTTGGGCTGGGACTTTGCAAAATAGTTTATTCAACATGGTTCATCCTAGTTATTATAAAAATATTAGCTGATAGGAGTGAAGTTTTACTATACAAATCCATGTACATAGATGTTCAGTAATGACAGTGAGACAGAAAGGCTAAAGTCATTCAGATCACCTACATCCTATTTTTCTTTAATTGATTTTAAATAAGTCTGACAAATGTAATAGTACTTGTCAGGAGTAAGAGAACAGTTATTTGTATTTTGTTGTCCTCTTTTAGCATTGAAGTGAAGAAACTAACAGGATTACCTATTATTCTTAGGATGGCAACTAAAGCTCCCACTACAATCTCTCATCAATCAGATATTCTCAAAAACCTTGCTTTCTTACCATTCAATGTTTTAAATGTAACAGGCAGGAAAAGAACTGAAAACAAGTTTACAAGACAAATATTAAATTTAAACAAGAGTATTTCAGTTAAGTTTTGTTTGACAAGTTAACCATAGAAAAGTTTAGGTTCCAAACTTTTTTTTTCACTCCAGAGACTGTAAAAAGTTTACAAACTGTATATAGGTTTTTACTGTTGTTTCCAATTAAGCTTCTTCACACAGTTTTGACATAAAAGTTATAAAAAAAACGAATTTTACAAGAAACCAAGAAGAAAACAATTTTTACCTATTTGTAATACATGTACGAAAATCCTCCCTTTGATAATACACCCCCCCCCCAAATGAATGTAGTTACCACATACCTAGTAGTTTGCTACATGATGTTGCACTTTGATATAGTTACGGTGTACTTAATAACCTACTACATGATGTTGCACTTTGATATAGTTACGGTGTACTTAATAACCTACTACATGATGTTGCACTTTGATATAGTTACGGTGTACTTAATAACCTACTACATGATGTTGCACTTTGATATAGTTATGGTGTAGTTAACAACTTTGCTACATGATGTTGCACTTTAATGTAGTTATGTTGTAGTTAACAATTTGCTACATGATGTTGTACCTTGATGTAGTTATGGTGTACTTAATAACCTGCTACATGATGTTGCACTTTGATATAGTTATGGTGTAATTAACAATTTGCTATATGATTTTGCACTTTGATGTAGTTACAGTGTAATTAACAATTTGCTACATGATGTTGCACTTTGATATAGTTATGGTGTAATTAACAATTTGCTACATGATGTTGCACTTTGATATAGTTATGGTGTAATTAACAATTTGCTACATGATGTTCACTTTAATATAGTTACGGTGTACTTAATAACCTGCGACATGATGTTGCACTTTGATAGTTATGGTGTACTTTACAATTTGCTACATGATGTTGTACCCTGATGTAGTTATGGTGTACTTAATAACCTGCTACATGATGTTCACTTTGATATAGTTACGGTGTACTTAACAATTTGCTACATGATGTTGCACTTTGATGTAGTTAAGGTGTACTTAGTAGTTTGTTACATGATATTGAAATTTAGTGTAGTTATGGTCAAGACAGATGATTCTGGCAATTTCTTTAAAATTGAAAGTTAAAGTTTCATTCCAGCTCAAAACCTCATATTAGTAAATATATTTGTTTGTTTTTTGTATATAAAGTGACTTCAACTATTAAATTCCCTTAAGGTAATACAATAATATTACTGAATGTGCACATTGGTGTCACCTTAATAATATTAAACCCACAGAACTGTAACTCAAACATCTCGGGTCTTCAAACTGCATGTTATGTCTTAGTTTGTAAAGTGACAGTTAAATTTCATAATCACTAAACTGATATGAATGTTTGTAGAAATGAATATACAACAAACATTTTAAGTGCAAACACACGATGTTTTTTGTTTTTAAAAACATTTTCTTATTTGCAAACATGTCATATCACTAATTTTTTCAGCAAGAGTTGAATTACAATTAAAAGTAATTAGGAAGGAGGTTAATTTCTTTGGGATGTTTTGAATTATTGAATGTAAAAATTTCAAAATATTTCATGTGTGTACATTTAAATGCAAGAAAAAATAAATCTATGACAGAGTTTATGAAAAGAAACTAGTGCTGAAATAAAGGAAATGTTTATTTCTCCAATCATGTCACATGAAAGGAAGTGGCTATCGTCTCTGCATAATTTACGTCTACAATGAAATAATTATGAGGAAACCAATTACCAGTTAGATGAAAACATGATAAAAGGCAATTGTGCTAACCCTAAAATTAGCAGTAATCAACATCTTTTCACCAATAGATATATGGTGTCAAGACCATACACTAGCACAGTGCACAAGTGTCAGGAAAATGTATCTACAAAGTAAGTCCACATACGCTAATAACCAAGCAAAAGTTGACTGCAGTGGTTTGAGAGGATGAGAATATACAAAATGCATGACACAGACACTGGATTTGCAGCCCTAAGTTTGAAAAAAAAAAAATATAAACACTAATATAATCCAAGTATTTTTGCTTAAAAGTGATCTTAATCACATAAATAATCCATTTTGACTCCCACCACCAGCACCACCACAACCACATCATATAAAGAAAATGACCAAGAAGTGTCTTCTGAGTTCAGGAAGATTCATGTATATATGTTTCCACCATATAAATTTGTTTTTAACCCTAATTTATCTTTAAAATATGCTTCAATGAACAACATGTTTTCAATGTTTCACAATAGTACTACCACAAGGCCAATGGAATCTCGGCATATGATACCATCAGAGAAACAATTCTGTTTTTTTTTTCCAATTCTTATTATGTGGCTCCAAACTTGTCTTAAAAAGCAAGTTGACAATTTGATGTACAACAAGACAAAGAACTTCCATTTTTTCATTTTGTTTTGTATTCCTTTATAAATTTAAAGCTATGAAATGTGTATCAGGGTCGAAAATGATTGGGAAATAATGCATACATTTATATAAAACTATCTCCAACTGGCATAGTTTTAATATGTGCTTAAGAAGCTAATGAGATCAAATTAAGCAATGACTTGGAACAATAAAACACACACCACTTCTACAAACCAGAATATAAATCTCCATCATAATGCACCTATAAATCTGCTCATTTTTGATGTCACAAAACTGATAAGTCAGTGCAATCATGATCTAAATTAACTGCATAAATAAAACAATGTACATTACTGCCACTAGGGAAAAACAACATACAGGGTACACCACAAACTTCTTTCCTGACACCAGCAAAAAAGTGACTCATGAGATATTTAAATATAGCATTTGTTAGCAGAGAGTAAATCTTGGAAAACAAGTCTAAATCTAAATAATAAACTACTAAATGGTACAATCTGCTTCCGAGACGCAAGTATGTTACATATTGAGAAAGAATAAATATTAATGATTACCAAAACTGCTACTAAACTGTGTGAAACCATAGATTAGTAAACCATTTAAAATCTTTAAGGTCAGTTAAACTTGTAAATTTTGACTGTAAGTTTGTAAATGTAACTCAAAACAAATACTTTCATTAGGACACACTACCTTGCATTCAATTGGTAAAGAAAATACTTAACATTCTTGAAGAAAAAGAAAAAAAAAAACATTAAACTGTAAAAGGTACAACTTATTGAATACCAGAATAATCCCTTGGTAAATATATAAGTGGTAACGGCAATGAAGAGTTAGACAAAATATACAGGACTTGACTATTGGGTCTGCTTTTCCCATGATGATATCTTTCAGACACACACGCACAAAACAGACTTAATGTTTGATGTTACAGAAGTTCTACTTATCCAATCATTACAAAAAAAACAACAGACACTTAAGTACAGTAACATTTCTATCCATCAGCAAACAATGATGGTGGTAGCTGCTGTGTTGATGGAAATTCTTGTCCAGGTACAACACTGGATGAGAGATCTGACACATTGTCCCGAGTAGATACTTCATTCTCGTGAGCTGTTACACTGTGCTCTTTACCATCCTTGCTTTCTATTCTGTTCATAGACTCTTCTGGACTTTGCCTTTCAAGTGACAGTAAGTCTGTACACTGACTCGTACATTCATTGTCTGACACTTCTACCTTTATGGCAATGGGAGACACTACCATTGCTTCTCTAGCAGACATCTCGATACAGCCAGGACAGATGTAGTCCTCTGTCTCACTGACATCCTTCAATTCTAACCCCATACAGTATAGATGAAACCATTCCTCACAGCCCCCATCACACTGCACCCAGTTTACAGCTTCACCTGAAACAAGTAATGGTAAACAGTCAATTTCGAAAAAGAAAAGTACTATTTTAAAAGCATAATTAAAACAATGTATTATGACATAAAAATATTTGATAAGATTTCAATGGTTAGAATAAAGAGGATTTAGATTCTGTAACTCTTCAAGCTCAATACCCATTTTCTATCAGTAAAATCAATATAATTCAGCTACTGAACTATCCACATACTATTTGACAATGGAATACAAACTTGCACCTCATACACATTGTTGTTCATGGTAGATATCTGCATATCCTACCACCTTGCTCATCTCTGTATCTTTTGGTTATACATATTAAAGGTCCTGACTTCTTGTTGCAATTGGGTTGAAGTCCAGATGGTACTTAAAATTGCCCCCTTCTGGGAGAGTTATCTTACAAGACATTTCAACATAAATTACTCTTATTCAACAACTATAACAGTATTCGAAACAAAACATCTTAACATTTCAAATAAAAATATAACTGCACTGTTAAACCATATTGCTAAAGCAAGATTCAAGCAAACAAAAAATATCAGGGTTTTGTGCACTCGAGAAAATTACATAAGTTGTCATTGTAAGTAACCCAGGAGTACAGCAGTTAACTGAAGCTAAACTAGAAACCTCAACCAGAACTGTAAGCCAATAAAGCACATGAATGTAGATCTACAAAAGTGACACAAGCCACATTCAAAGTTTTTAATGGAATTATGATGCAGCTATAAAATGGTAATTTAAACATCTGGAGAGTTGAAGAAGATGCGAATGGTGAACACTATGTGCTATTAAGGTAATGTATGAATACCACCATACTGCAGGGAAATAGATGCCATAGATGAATATGACACCATCAACAAAAGCATGGAGCATACATTCAAGTCAACATGCCAATTCCTCCACAAGTTGCAAGTAATAATGAAAACTAACACTACATCCTTTACAGTCATCTAACACAGACTTCCCATGTCCCTGGGTTGTTCAAGCTGTCCCCAGGAAGTAATCAACTGTGCTTGTTTGATACACTTTGGAAAGCATGCAAAGAAGAGGAAAAAGAACATTGAACTCAGTGTAATAAGCAAAATCCTCTTGCATTGGAAAGTAGTTCAGGTGGAAAGAGCAATGTCTTGAAAAACTCCTGTTTTCCTTTCCACCTGAACCTACTTCTATACAATAGTAGTCCAAGACTTTCTCTTCAAGTGTAACTCTGAACTAGATAGTTGATGCCCATTTCAAGTTTGATCATTTTTTAATCTCATTTACTTATGCTAAAGGAGAATGATCTTAATAGATATTTATTATTTTAAAGTTCTTCTAACAGTTTATATTTGTGATTAATTGAAAGAATTGGTCAGGTTTTCATGACAAAACACTATATTGAAAAGAACAGCAGTTGCAGTCTGAGGATATATATTTACAAATTCACTTGATTAAGTTATAATGGTAGCAAATATTAATATATATACTTTTAATGGTTCTTCCAGTTTTTAGAAAATACATATTTAAATATGAAAGCGTATTTTTAAATGCAATCTTATGTTTATGCATGTATAACCTTTCTTTAACTAGTATAAATCTATCACAAAAACATATACAACAATTTTGTTTAATCTTCATAAGTTTAATATTTCAAATTTAATGTATCAGGAGAAGGCTGGTAACATCAATCGTAATATCCCGTATAGTTGAACCTAGTACCTCTTATAACCATACAGAAATAACAGCTGGAAGCAGTAACATACACAGATTTAATGTATATTATCAATAAAGTTGAACTTTCTGAGGAGGCTTTTGTGCAATACATTGATGTAAAGCTTTTGTATTATAATTTTAACTTGTTTAGATTAACCTTACTAATACTCGAATAATGACTTGCATATTTTTATACCATTGTAAAGTTGCTCTGCAATATTTCCTTACAACAAAACCTAATCACAGTTTGTTTGTCACAAACACATTTAATATTGTAAGGGAAAGAAACAAAAAAGTGGAGGGTAAAGTAACACTACCTGTTGGTTTCAAACATTTAGTGGCTGAACAGAGGTCTTCATCCTCTTCAGATGGTGAGTCTTGATCTTTGGCTTTGTTTTCAGTTTTAACTCCTTTTCCCATTGCTAATCTGACCTGAGGACCTTCTTTTCTCAAGGGTTTTCTATTTTGTTTTTTCTTTAATAGCTTAGGTTTTGTTTTCTCTACTTTGCTGGATTTGTCTTCATCTTTCTTAGGGATGGTGAGCAAAGATTCTTTTCTTTCCCTAGCTTCAATCTTCACTTTTAGTGGTTTTTTTGAGAATGGTTTTAACCGTCTAGGAGATCCAAAGCTCTTGTTACTGCTGCTACTTGTACTACTACTGCTGCTTAAGTTTCCCTTATCATTGCTGCTCATCATTGCTGTTCCACTAGATAACGGCTTACCATCTTTGTTTATTTTTAGTTTCTTTTTCTTAGGCTTACAAATCTCAGTAGATGAGCCAGCTGAATTCAGTAGCTTTGGTTTAACCAATTTGTCTTTAACCTAAAAGATGAAAATATAAAAATATACAAAAGCACTGGCCAGTGTTTTTGAGATGATTTTTTTACAGTTAAAATAACATACAATTAAAATTGAACCATTGTGAAAATAATAAAACAGAGAAAACTTTATTCTCTCAGCCTCCTTCAGAACAAAATAATTCAATATTTCTTTTTTGGAAAAATAATACAACTGTCAGAGTGACATCTAACACACACACACCAATAATACCTAAAAAGTAAGTTGCTGAAAACTGAGGAATAAAAGACTACAGTAAATTTGGATAAAGTTTGCTTGACAATCAGTCTGTGAAAAACAGAAAGAAATCACATCAATGATAATAAATATAAAATCAAGGTTGGCTGGGTCTATTTAACTAACTTATGGTTTAGGTTTCCAATACCTGGCCTTATCACTAACTTATTAAGAATGTTTCCAAAGATGAATGAATTCAGAAATACATTCTTCTTAAGTATATACAGCTGGGAAAGATTTAGTCTTGTTGAATTTTACACAAAGCTACTTGGGGGCTACCTGTGCTGATTGTCCCTAATTTTGTCTACTGATAACTAATGGACTATTCTATTTGAGTACTGGGATTTAACCTTTCGTTCTCATAATGGTCTGAAAGCATAGAGAGCAGTTTTTGTTTTGTTTTTGGAAGGAAGGAGGTTCAAACCATAGAATATCATACCCACAGTCTGGTACACTAACCACTGGACCATACTCAACCCATTTAGGATAAGAATTTATAACTTAATGAACATCTGCAATATAAAATCAAAGTTAACATTTTTCTAAATTGAAAATATATTTCCAATAATATTTACATCCACTGCCACTTATAGCTATTACTTAACCTAAAGGGATTCTTCTTTGCCCATCTAAGAATTAGTCTGATTTTTTTGTCGCTTGCTCCAGTCTTTTATACCCCACTCAATTGCCCTTGGCGATAATTGTCTTGTGATACTCTCCACCTACGTGAATGCACCCTCTACTGACACCATCCCAGTCTCTAACACCAGCTCTTATAGGAAGGAATGGTGAGAGAGTGTCAGCAGAGGTAAGTATTATTGGAAATACATTTTCAATTTAGATAATGTTAACTTCCAAAATGTACTTACTTCTGCTGCTACTTATAGTTAGAACCTCACAATGAGAATGTGGAGGGGCCAGTGAGGGCATTATCCATACAGAAAGCATCTGCATAGATCATGGATGTACCAAGATAAGAGTGGTACTCGAGTGGGGGAACCACACCACACCCAGAACAGGTATGCTCTTGACCCTTCATGTGTCACTATAGGCCAGCCCCAAATAGATAGCCGAGGTTCCACTACTCGGGCTTGGAATTAAGGGGTCTTGGTCCCTAGACCCCATTTTGATGGTCAGGGCAAGTGGACTGCAACATTATATACAGATATACTTTTGATTGGATCCCAACCTGTAGCCATAGAGTGATGCGTTCCAAACCACCGGAAGCATGACGAGAAAGTAAGCAACACCGAAGCAAACAAACCTTCTCCTCCACCTGAAGAAGCCTGAAAGGTAACATCCCAGGCTCTGAATGATGGGATCATGTATGCCTTACTCAACCAAAGGAACAGAACTCATCTAGTCTGGAATTATGAACATTCATCTTCACTCCCCAACTGAGTGAGCAAAGCGCCTTCCACTTCCCCCCTGGAATTATGAGTAGGACGTGGAACAACTGTGTTCAACCAAGGACCCAGTATGGGACCACTCCACATTAGTAATTACGATGAGATAGCAGACCTCCTCCCATTAACAATATACTGACCCAATATTTATCAAAAAGAAGGGGGGGGGGGTCCTGAGAAACAGTGCAATAGATGAAGCAAATTCCCTAAATTTTTAGAAGCAAACCAACCCCGATTTATTCAATCCGATGATTGGCAGGGACAGGTATGATACCCTTTAGCTTTACTCATGATAGTCCATGAGTGGCAGTCCAGCATGGTATGGTAATACCACCTGGTGAGCTACTAGGTGGTCTTATGGAATACCTCATTTCTAAAGAGCCTGTTGCAACCGGTAGTAATTATAGTGAATTAATAGTTGCTAGTGCAGAAATGGATTGATAAAAAGCACACCTGCCTGGGCAACACTTCCCACTGAGTGGAATCCTGTGAAAACAAAGGATGGGACCCTGAAAGGTAGAAATAAAAAATACTCATTCCTCTGGATAATCTAGCAGAAATAGTTAAGATAGGTACAGGGAGTAGGCAAAAACCTTCAGATGACGAGATTGCCAGATCAAGCAAATAATTTGAGATAAAGGTATTGGGGGAGGTCCACATACCAGTCCACACAATGACCTTCAGCAGGCAATTCGACCAGGCTGCTAAGGACATAGAAAAGAGAAATCTGATTAGATGTGACTCACAGAAGATACCTCACCTTCAAAGAGAACCCAGAATAAAGTGTTGTCTGGTATCTCTACAGGTATAAGTGCAAGCAACAAAAACCTTCAAGAATGAGAAAGTGGTCTGTGGACAAACAGCACAAATCACTCAGATGGGTGATGTCCATAGGTCAGCAGCCACAAAAAATATACCTGCAGGTAAAGGAGATACATGGCATATAAGAATCAGGTCACAAACAGGTGTAGAGAAAGAACTTATAACCTTAACCTACTTGTTAGGTAACTGGAATAGTCATTTGGGACCAATTACCCAAAATGATATGAGGAATCTGGAGAGTACTGGGGACTAAAAAATATGTAGTTGTGATAATCAAGCAGTAGTTGATAAGGTTACCATAAACAACTGCAATTGGGGAAGATGTAAAAACCCAAAGAACCAAGTCAAAAAATGAGTTATGGAAGATATTACTGATTGAAAAGGGTTCAACCTCCTCTCAATACAACATTGCCAATATGTATGTCATTACTGTCGAGAAAAGTACCTTTCAGACTAAGCAGAAACTGAGACAGATAGATGTCAACCTTAGAAATAAAACCCTAATACCGTGTGAAAGACAGCATAACCTCTATGCAGAAACTTGAGCTTCTGGATAGCCAGGTGTACCATATCTGATCATGGCTGCTTCTAAAGAGAGAATCTAAAAAGAAGTGGAAGAGTTGGATACACCGGAAAAGACTGCAGAAGCAAAAACCCAGATGTAGCCGCTAATTTGGTGAGATCAACAGGATCTGACAATGGGTTGGAATAAATCATATTTCCTACCCTGGGTAACATATGAAATGGAGAGAAGGTTGGGAGTAGTAATCTCGTCCTATCCAGATGGAAAGCATTTATTGTCAAGGCCCAAACATGAGGTACTGGAGACCAATTTGCCAGTAGTTGGGTGATCCAATGAAGGGCATCCCACCAATTTGAGTTGAAAATTAGATGCAATCCAACTGAACCCTGTGATGCAACATCTAGTCTGTTGGGAGAATCTGTTTGGATTGGGACAATAGACCTGCTACCACAGGCATCACCAATGGAACATTGCAATCTAGAAGGGCTTTGTCGAAAAAAAGTGATAAAAACAACCTAAATGAGGTGCTTCTTTACAGTACCAGGATAGAGGGCAAATTCACGTAGGTAGAGAGTATCACAAGCCAATTATCGCCAAGGGCAATTGACTGGAGTAAGTGAGAAAAAATCAGACTAATGCTTAGATGGGCAAAGAAGAAACCCTTGCAGTCGAGTAATAGCTACAAGTGGTATCGGAGGTAAGTATGTTTTAGACATACCATCTTCAAACAAACTTTGGAGCAAGTGAATGAAGCCTGTTAAACCTCCTTGAAAAGTAAAAACAAAATCAATATTTATGAATTATAGCAAAAGGAAGCAATGATGAAAACATACAACTCCATAAATTTTGCCTGAATTGTTTTGTTTTTACTGAAAATGTCACTACATGTGTTATCAGTACTTTTTCACTTTACTTTAGAACCAATGTACGATTATCTATGTTTTTGGTTTTTTTTTTCAATGAACAGTCATTTAAAGTTTTGGTACCATACAATAATGGTTTGCTATTTTTAACAATAATTTTTATTTTCCCACTAGTATCTAGTTTTGTATAAAGTTAGTATGTGATGAAATGAGGCGTATGGAACATGAGAATGGCTTATAATTAAGCCTAAATGGGCGAGTAAATACTCTTGCATTAAAAAAAATTACTTTTGATTTTTCCACAGCCCTTCCATCTTCCAGTTTTCGTTTCTTGATTTTTTTCTCTTTTTCAGGCTTTCCATGTGCTTCTGATTCAAAGTTCTGTAAAAAGTTCTGTTTTTATAAATCTTGACTTATTTTGGTATTTTTTTCGCTTTGATCTTTAAAAACAAAAGATGACTGAAATGCCAAGTTAACTACACGTTATGCTCTAAATTTAATAAGTTTTATGTCCTCTACACATTTCCACAATTTTTCTTTTGAAGTAGTACTTTAATAGTTTTCTGCGAATATCTAAGCTTTCACCAGTGAAGTAAATAAAACAATTCCAATTCTTATGAATTTAAGATAAAGTCAATTAAATATGAAAAAAAGATTTGAAATTAAAATTGCCATTGTTACACTGGTTACACATAAAATACAATTTACCACTTTGGAAGAGTTTTTTGTTCAAACATTTAATGATCCAAATGACAATGGTTTCCACACACATTTGTTAAAGTATATATCAAAGTTGTTCTTACAAATTTTAACCTTTTGATTTCATGGATACATAATATACATGGGTGGGTTCATTATGGATTAATAGTTTCTTACATTAGTCACATTTTGGTCCATTACCTTATAATATTTAAGTAAACAATAAGTACTGGGTTACTTTTTTGTCATACATTACAAATATACCATTTGAAACAATCCAGAAAAGTATGTATATATCCATATAGCAGAAACGTTAAATAAAAATTTGCAAAACACTGTTCTTCAACAAAGAATTATTACACAACAAGCAAAGGTAATGCATGTTTTATAAAAATAGTCAATATCTAATTGCAGACATTCTTAAGTGGTGGTATCAGGGTTATTCTTAGTGTGCAGTTGATCACAAATTGTACACCTTTAAAAATATTTCTGAGGTTGAAAATTCACCTACATAAGTAAGTTCAAATGGATAAAAAAAGAAAAAAAAAACATATTTAAGGTAATAAAATTCTATTCCAGAGTTGATAAATAGATGTATTTACTAGAGTATTCTTCCTTTTTGGATCATTTGTCACTAGGCCTGTATATATGAGGTGCAATAATGCATCATGTA